TAGGGGCATTTCATTTTAGATCCAATAAACCCAACAACCACCTTCTCTACCCTGTGGCTTGACCATAGCCCTCAGGCCTTCAGTGTGACTGCATTTCCCAGGGTTGCACTTCCACCTTATTACCAGAATCTGCCAAGGGAAATGCATGGTCTTAAAGGCCTAAATTAGGAAGTTGCAAGGCAGGCTGACCACGAATCACTGCTTGGTGATGGAGATATTGACTCTTATTCTGAACTTGCTACCTGACCTTTAACAGAAACTTTTGCTTATTAAAATTTTGCCTTGCTGCTGGGCACACTTATTTATCTTGAGCAATGAACTGACAGATGCATCAAGGCTGTGTATAATACACTACATAAAACTCATTCATCTTCTACTGGTGAAGTGGGTTTTCTTAAGGCTTCAACCCAGCGTATGATGCTACCTTTGCCTTCAGCCAACTGTGTCAGAAACACAAGGTTCCTCAGCGAGACCATCTCTTAAAATGCTGGGTAGAGCCTTGCTAGAAGATGTGTTGTCAGCCCATATGAGATCTTTCCCTTTGTGTGGATGGCTGCAAACTGTATTATATGCTGGTTTTCAAGCTAAAAGGCAGGGCACCCCCATGGAAAACTGGGATTTCTTTGGGTTTGCTTTTGCACAGTACTGATTCCCTCACTCCACAGCAACTCCAAGCAAAATAATTTTGCAACTTTTGATTTACCTAATTTCATGAGACTATGATATCTGTCTCAAGTCTTTTTCCTTTTTCCCCGTTTTACTAAGAAAATGGGAATAAAGAAGAAAAAGTAGTCAAGCTGTAAAAAAAAATCTTAATCAAAACATCCAGACAGAAATAATGTAACTGCCCTCCATTGCTACTACTACAACTAAGCTTTTGGAAAAACATATTTATTGTAGAAAAATAAGATTTGAGATTTTTTCCTCTTCAGCAAAGTCTTGGGAAAAAACACTTGGCAAGAAGAACAAAAAAGAAAACATCCAGAAACCACAGTCACTTAGCCCACAACATAAGAAGAGAGGAGAAAGCGTGTAAAGAGCAGTGCCCACTTCAACACACTTGAGAAGCACTGAAAGGTCTGACATTGCTTTTCTGTACTTAGGTGCAGCTGTATCATGATGGGAGATTGAGCACACTGCTTAATTTCAAGTTCTTTTTCTTGATATAGCGTGGGCCATTCTAGAACTAGTATAAACAGGGTTTGCTCTGTTACAGAAGCAAACAATGGCATAAAATCTGCCATGTAAGAGAGGGTTTTGTTTGCTTGCTTGCTTTTTAAGCACATCTCCACGATATAGGTCTATCTCATTTAAGTATGGACTGAAGATGGATTTTTTTAGGCTGGCTGCACATTTGTTCTTGGGTAGTGAAATCCAAGCCTCCACAATTCTGACTTTCCATTGCAACTACTGTTTTCCTCTAAAATCACAAAGAACCAGGAACGGCCACTTTGTACCCATTTAGCCTCCGCCTACGTGGCTACACTATGGAAAACATACGGACTTCTCATAAAAGCTGTGGATCTTACAGAGCAAAAGTTAGAAATAGAAGCATGTTAACTTTCCGCTCACATAATTCCTGTGACATGCAGAATTTTTGAACAAACAGCATCCTCTCATGTTAAATGCAGTGGTTCTAAGAAAAACATTAACTTGGTCAACTAATCAAGCATCCAAGCATCTCTCCTTCAGTGCTCTCCCAGTTAAAAACTAAAAATAATGAAGACAAACACAGCACCCAAGCTCCCTCCAGGAGACCTAGAGCTCCACCAGGGCTGCACCCCGTTGTGCCTCGTTGAGGACCAACCTGGAACACGGCTCATGGAGCCGCTCCGCCTCCCGCCATGGCGGCTCCCCACAGCGCGGGTGACGGGCCGGCCTGTTACTGCAGCCGGAGCCCTCGGGCCATGGGCTCAGCTCGCAGCGAGGCAGCCCTGGGCCCCACAAGCAGGCAGGGATTTAGGGCTCGCCACACGCAAGGCTCCAGGCTGCTAAGGGGGCATGCTGGGCAGGAGCAGGGCTTTTTCCTGCTCAGTGCTGTGTGGGGAAGAGCTGAGCAGTGGGAGGCCCTGAGCTAACGGACAGGTCTGCTCTGCTCCCTGCTTCCCGTCAGTCTTAACCCGTTGTGATCAGTTCAGCTTTCAAAGCGCATGTATATACATCTATATATGTGTACACACACACACAATTGTTGTATCTTACACGAACCATAGGAGGAACATAGCTGAGAAGAGCACCAGAAAAAGCAGGACTACAGGAGCCAACCATTAGACTTCACAAGCTGCAGCCCAACGTTTTGGGTTCACAGATGAAGTATAGCAGGTTACATCAATTTAAGTTGGACTAGTACCATACTTGGCATTCAATGACCAAAAAGGCCAAGTTCCACTTAGGTATTAACTCAACACACATTTATCTTTCCATCCTAGCATACTACAGCATACAAGATTTAGTTGTGAATTACCAAGGTTCAGGTATAGCCAAGCTAAAGATGAAAGCTTATTTTCAGTTGTTTAAAGTAAGCTTGGAATTTAAGTGATCCAGCTAATAAGAAATCTCTTGTACATTCCATGAGAATTAACATATTACAAAACCAAGTGACACAATGATTTAATTGAGCAGTAGTGCACCTCAAATTCTGATTTCCACACAAAAAGTATGGGACACAATAGCATATATAATGAAGCTTCCTGGTTTTTATTCAAATTCATATTCATTGCCTGTTTTAACTCAAGATTTTTAATAGTCTAATAAGCAACACAATACAATCATGCTGGAGATTAAACCAAACATGGTTATTGATTCTTTCTGCACTTTTCAAAACCTAGTATTCGAAGAGAGTGTTTGAAATCTTTTTTAAAAGCACTAAGATGAAGTCAAATACATTAACTGAGCATGATGAGTGCAAAGAACAACGCGCAAGAGGCTATAGGAAGAAAGTGATAATCTATCCAGAAAAGATATCACTGGAATTACAAAACTCATGTTCAAGTCACAGCATCTGTTTAGTCCTTAAGAGGAAAAAGAAAAAAAAAAAAGAAAGAAAAAAGCATACTCAAAGAAAGATAAGTTGGTTAAAAAAGGTTCCACTGCCAAGAGTATTTGTACACCTCATACAGGCCTGAGAAACAGCAATTAAGACTGAAAAACACTGGATACAAGAGAAATGTAAGCCACAGAAGCATATACAGAGCCATAAAGAACACAGCCTAGAGGAAGATGCTTGGAAAAAAACAAACTTAATGATGAAAGTATTTGCAGCACATAACAGAAGCTTACTAGATAACTTCATAGCAAGCTGTACATCTAGGAGCACTGTAAACCTTGCTCTTCTACACTTTAAAGTAAAACAAAGCAGTTACCAGCAAAGGCAGTTACTCAAGGAATTGCTTCTCAAGAGCAAGAGTGGGTCCTTTCCATCTTGAAACCCTGTGGGTTCACCATATCCTGAGGCTGAAAGGTACCATTTCTCCAAATGCACAAGACCATGGTTTCTAAAACAAGGTTTGCATGCAGGGATGAGAGCTGGTAGAATGGAGTATGGTCCTCCTAAATCAAGGAGGACAAACCTCCCCTCCCTCCCATTATGGGCAGCCTAATCGCAATCTCCTGAAGTTTATATAGTTATGCAAAACCTTCTCCATCTGTTTACACAAAACATCAGCTCTCCTAATGATTATCTTCAAGTGGTGCTTTAAGACCAATGATACCACTGGATAATCTCGGTTCACTGGATTCATTCACCCTTCCTCTCCTTTTTTTTTTTAATTTTTGCAGGCTTGCAGGAACTAGAAACAACTTGAAGGAACAATAATATAGCACAAGTAAGTGGCAAGATATGAACTACATGACCTAGGGAACACTCCAAATTTTTGGATCCAAGTAAGAAGGTAAAACTGGGTGTTGACACAGCTATGATTCAGGACAACACTTAAGCCACCACAAAACTGAAATCTATTCCATGGTTTTCTGGTTTGGATTAATGGCTACAGGAGCCATGTAGGCCAGAGTGATAGAATAACTGTTCTGTGTTCCCCAAGAATATTTTGGTTTGATTTGAATTCTTTCCTGGATGCCTCACAGGAAAAGAATGTGCAGCCCACATGATTCCCAAGTCCAAGACCCTGAGCTTCTCTGGGAGAAGGGGGACTAAGACTTTGCACAGACATTTGATGTGGAAAGGCACATTCTGAGCTTGCACAAACATGTGGCAAGTTAACCCACTCCTAGAGCCATCAGCCAAGCCACCAAGAGGATGCCACCTTCTCTAGAGAGCTATAGAGTTGACCTGCAAAAGCAAACTCAGGCCTTTAAAATATGTAATTGCAAGTATCATGCAGATATTTCACATTTTACTAGCATTAGCAAGCTAAATATCTTTCCCCAGCATTATGGTTGCATACCAGCCATAAGGAAGATCTGCTTTTTACAGAAGTCACACATATGTCCCTGTTTACCCTTGATCCTTTAAAGTGGGAACAACAGTTCTAACCATAGGGGTAAAAGACATTGCTGGGGACAAGAACAGCCAATAGGGCTACCTTCTGAGGAGAGACTGGTAGAGAAATTTCTTGGAATTTTATGTTGTTTTTTTATGATGCCAAGTGGCTACCAAACTTATCCAACAGTGCCTAACCATCAAGTTAGTTAACAATACATAGGAAATCCTTTAAGATTATTGCAAAAATAAAGTGATTCTGTATATTGTTTTTTTCTTTCATGGACAATGTGATTTACAGCCAAAATATTGTGAAATCCCTTAACTGAAGCCCAAAGATCTTCACATGATCCAAGTAACTTTAGTGCAACCTGAGCTTTAGTGGGGTTGGGCAGAAGAAAATTCTAAAAATACTTGGGTTAGACAGAATGTTCCTTAGTCTGCCCATTCCCCAGCAGAAGGATTGCTGGAATGGTTTGTGTGCGAGACTAAGAACAAAAGGTAAAAGACTACTCATTAAAAAATAAAAGCAGAATTTTGCAGATCTGATGTCATTACTTACCAAGCCAGCTATTGGAGTTGATAGGCGATTGATCTTCTTAATGATGCCAGGCTTGATCTTGTTAATCAAACTAAAAGGAAGTCATATGATTTTCTGTTATATAATCAACTTTGAGCATGAATACTAATGTTTATTAAGAAATATTTTGCTGATATTGTTAGTTTATGTAGCTTGTACTAAGAAAATGTGAACATGTAAACCCAAATATATATTTTAATTGGTAATACACTTTTAATGCTTCCCAAAGTGCAACAAACAACAACAGATTGCAGAAGCAAAAAGTAGGACAAGCCACAAAAATAAAGTTTGCTGAGAATGGCAAGGTGATAAGTAAGGAAATAAATTAGAGATGCAAGGTTAGCTGTAGGAAGGAATGATTCCATATATTAGATGCATGGGTAGAAATGTTAAAGACTTAAATTTCCTATTTAAAGTTTTTTTTTTCTTCTGATAAAAGTTCAGATGTAGCAGACATTGGAAAAAATCTAAACACTAATTTTCAGTGTGCAAGTTCTGAAATTCCTATAAGCATAAGAATTTGTGTCACTGTCAGTCCCAACATGTGTACAATCACCATTTTTGTTCCAAGATGTGCAAGTTAGTTTCAATCTCAGCCAGAAACATTTATTTTTCTTTACGTTAACTGCTACCCTACATTATCTAGGACTCATAATTAAAGCAAGAAGATTAGATGGACATCACCACTGAGGTACACAAGCCCAAACACACATCTTGCTCTGCAATGAAGATAAGGCAAAGATGCAGAGGATTCTTTACATCTATACACTTTGGTTTTCAGTCATGGAGGTAGGGAAAACCCATGGTTCACTTAAGTACATGCAGACCACACAATCAAAACAGGCCTAGAACCTCAGGACACCCTGGAGACTCCATCTGCCTCAATACCTTGGTGGATTTTGGCCTTACTCCCTCATCTTGTTGATGCAAGTCTGGCTAGACCCTTTGCCCACATAAAGCATTGAGGAGGTTTTGTGATCTACCCACACCAAGGCAGTCAGGACCTGGGGTTTAAAGCTGTATGTGGGAAAAGGAACTTTTTCTGCTCAAACAGCAAATTTATTTGGAAAACAAACAAAAATAATGGAGTTGCTGCAAACAAAATGGATTGGAGGATGGATTTCTAAGTGCTTGCAGGAAAAGAAAGAATGGCTGCAGATACTGGGATTTCTAATTGCATCAAACAATTGACGAAGCACAATACTTCTGATGGCTTTCCCACAAAATAAGAGAGTGTTCTGTTTTGAGCAGAATGTTAAAAAGTGTTTAATCTTTTTTTTTAAAGCTTTAAAATATGAAATAACATGTAACTAGGATAACTTGAATGACTGCTACCGTATGTACAGATCTACTATTCTGTAATGGGATTTTTGTCAGCTACTGCTGAGCTAACCAGTCAACATGCATACTTGGTCACCCAGCACACCAAAGAGATTGGGCTGCCATAGGGACATTGTGGAAGGCTGATCTTAGTCTTAGGACTTCAGAAGTCTCAAGTAGTTTCAGTCCAAGGTATCATTCCTAGAGACAATCTCTCTCTGGAAGTTCAAGTAGCCATGGGAGAGCTGAACCAGACTAATAAGCAATGCTGGGTCTAGTTTGTCTCTGTGAAAGATCTTGTATTCTGTTTACTCTGGTGGAAATCAGACATCTGAAAGCCTTTCACACCTTGCTCTTTTCTGTTTCCAGAGAATTTCTCTGGAAACCACTTTTACCTCAAGTATGTCAAATTTGAAACAGTGCAGGGGGACACCGATATGATTTAGTGCAAGATAATTAGGCAACTTTTCCTTTACAGAAAGTTGTATGCCTCCTAAGGCGAGCTGCTCAGCTGAAGAAATTACAGGATGTTTCCTGCATATAGCTGTTAATTACATATAAATTTAACTGATTTGCATTTGGCAGATGGAAACTCACACTCCTTTGCCAAAGAAGTGTCAACAATGAAGACAGAGCATTAGAAAATAGCAGTTCAGTGCCAATTCTTAAAATACTACTTTAAAGTTACAGCTGAGCATAACACACACATCCCACTAAACACATACCTAAAGTAGCTCTTCTCGAAGTATAAACTGTTTTATTACAATATTCACTCTAGCTGATATTTGATTACATCAGTGATCAAGATAGTTTTTCTCTCTACAACAGCATCTAATCATTAAAACAGCTCAACTCCATTATATGAATGGATGCCTGAAAGTGAGTGCAGAAGCACGGGCAGAAGAGGCTGAAAGGAGAAATGCCCAAGGAAGGAAGTAAAGGCCAGAACAGACAGAGCAAAGACAGTAATATCTGCAGGAGGAAGGATGCAGCAGACTTGATTATTTGCATTTAATTTGGTCATTTTCTTTATATACTATCATTCAAAAAGCTTCTCAAAGTTTTAACTTAGATGAATGTTCTTGACCTAGGAATGACTCAGATTCCAAGGAACTTTAAATTTCCCATAGAGTCTCATAATGAGATTTTGCTTAGTGGCATTCAAATAAGGTTTACACCTCCCCTTCCTTAAGGCCCTGTGGAATTAGGGCTGCTGGCAGCCCAGGAACCTCGCTCTAATAAGGACAAAGCCATTTGCAACCGCATGCAACACACCTGACAGGAGGCCATTTTACACCTCTGACTCAGGGCAGCAACCAAGCCAGGCAAGTCCCATTATTGCCAGGCCCAGAATATGGAAGCACAAGGAAGCTTTCTAGAAAAGTCTAGAAAAATCGTAAGTCCTGTTACTGAATCCTGTTACTGAAATTAGTAATTCCGCAGAGTACTGACACCAAGATTGCATATGAACATACAAATCAGTATTTCTGCATTCTGCTGAGCAGCAATTAATTTTTTTATTATCTTAAAGTGCTTTTTAAAAACATCCAGATTTTTAGAGTATACATATCCCTAAATGGCATCCAATACAGTCTACATAACTGAGATATTTTGATGAAACCTCAGAAGGCCAAACCACTGCTCTCATGCTTCAGGATGTAGAACAGTATTAATAAGCAGCATATACATGAAAACATGCAGGCCATCTTTAATTTACAGCTTCATAATATACATTTCTGAAGTAAACTGCTCTTTTAAAAGAGCTATGAGACTACATAGCTCTATATCACATGATGGAGAGAACTATGATTGTGGTAATTTGCTGTAACAAAAACAAACAAAAAGGCAGTGGGTCTGCAGGTAGCTGAGTGCCTTGATCACAATACTCACTCACACAACAGGACTCCATTTTCCAGAGCAGCTCGGAAGTCTTTGGTTCCAAAGCTTTTCCCAGTAACAGTCTATAAAAATAATAATTAGGAGTTAATTTGACATACACACACAAAACAAAACACACAAAAGAACTTGAGTTCTTTATGTCTCAGAAAGTCTAACTTAACATCTCCCAATAGTTTCCTTCATTGTAGATCACTCCCCAGCTCAATTCTATGGGAATACTTATTGCTGTTTTGCTAGTACAACCACCAAACTGGAGGTATAAGAAGATGTAGCTTGGGAAATACTGCCAAAACAGTCCAAAAGAGGGTTTTATCCCAGTTATGTAGGAATGAAGTACTAAGCATCACATTTCATCAGGCTTAGTTTAGATGTCTCCAGGTTCAGCCACCTCATTGTTATGAGCCCCTTTTTGTGATGTTAAATCTGTGCCCGGCACTGCACAAGATACTTTAAAAGTGCTGGGGAAGCTGTGGGTATCCACACCAAAGTCACTGGTTACTGTGATAATTAAAGAAATAAGTGGTGAAAGAAATGAACAACAGTTTGTGCTCACTTGGGAGAAGAGCAAGGGAGAAGGCTACTCAAGACATGTTAGATTATCACTCCCCACGCACTTGTAGAAGGCATGTATATTAGTACCAGAAATCTTAAAACTTAATTTTTTTTCCACTTTTTTAAAATCCAATACCTAATTCTAATCTCCCTATTGAAAAAACAGATATGACAAAGAGCTCGTGTTGAAAACTTGATTTTTGCCTTTAACGAAAAAGGAGACAGAAAAAATAATGAAAGATCAACTCAAGACATGAAAAATTCCACCATTCAGTTGAAAAAAAAAAGAGACATTTAGCAAAGAACTGATTCTCCTGAGTGAATTGTAGTTTATACAGTTTTCTATAGAAACAGACTATTGTTAGAAGAGTAGGTATTGCATTGTAGGGATACCATTTTCAAGAATCACTTAAACAGAGCATCCTAAAATTATTGCTATTTCAAATAATAAAAATCAATAAATAAAAATAAAAAATAATAAAAATAATAAAAAAGGCAATAGCCTTTTGCATCCAAGCTTGTATAGAAAGTTGCTATGCTTCATGATAATTGAGGAAAGTAGCCCCCTTTAAAAGGGCATTAAAAGGGTAAATGCAAATATTTGTGTTCCCAAGGTTAGTTTATAAATTAATTCCTTCATTCTACAGATAAGAAACTTAAAGTTTACATGCTTTGCAACAGAATTGTGTTATTATGAGAGCTGCAAGACTCCATCTGGCTTTAGGATGGGGTTTCAAGCTCACATCCCCTTGCAGAATACAAGGGCTGGCCTGGTTTTATGAATTCCCTCTGGTCTACAGGGTCCCGTCACACAAGGCCCGTGCGCAGCAAGGCCACACGTTTCCTTCAGGCAACGCAGCCTGCTCCAGCCAGGCCCTGCCCCACAGGGGAATGTCTCCTGGGGCCACAAACAGGCCTCAGGTTCAAATACCTCAGTAATTTGGAACTGCTCGTACCCAAGGAGGTCACCCCTGAGAAGGGACTCTCAAGGAGGCAAGGGACATGTGTTGCTGACAACTCCCTGTGCTTCAGCACTGGCCCCCCACCACAGAGGTGGTGCCCAGCAGCACAGCGCAGGCTCAAGGTACATGATGTCCTCATTGCTAAATTAGGAAAAAATAAGACCTGAGACCCTGGAGGCATCTCAACTAGGTTATTGATCATTGCAGGCTGCCACAAATGAGAGGATGGTGCTGTTGTTCCAATCTCACGATTCTGCGGACTCCGTGGCGAGTGGACGTTCAAGTGAAGCACCAGTGCTGCCACAGAAGGCTTTGCTACTGCTGCCTTTCAAAGGATAACTGATAATTAAGTAATTAAAACGTATTTTGTAGGGAACAACTTAATACCAATGGCTTGAAACCGAAGCATCTTCCAAATTGTGCAACACCACGAATTTGCTGAGGTCACGGAAGGAAATACTCTATTTTAAACCAGGTTTTTAAACCAAGCAGAAACAGAAATTTTCTGAGACAGAACCATTGTACAGTTTGCCCATGCTGCAAGAGATGAAGCACATGAAGGCCATCATGGCCTCTACAGGAAGCAAGTATCATTTAGAAGCAAAACAAAAAGCCCAAGTATTCATTGACTAGCTCAGAGCTCCATAGCTTTTAAGAACCTGAGCAAGACGAAACGAATCCCACCCTCAGATATTACATCTTCAAACAAGGTCTGTGATTTCTGAGTCACTGTTTATTCATTAAAGCAGGTTTCACAGGGTGCGGTGCACTTATGTAATAGACATAATTGATTTTGGACAATTTTTCAACCACTTGGACCAGATGATCCAGCAAACACTACAGGAAATACCTTGCAAAAGCAATTTTAGCCATCTTTGAACACCACCTTTGCAAATTGCAAGTCGCTCTCTTCTCCTTCGTGTTCCCCTTTTCTGCTTGTTACTAGAGAGGGGAGTGACTTAGAAGACTATATAATAAATTACACTTGATTGCTACTATAAAACAGCTTGATTTAATTTTTGGAAGAAAGCATGCCCTAAAATTTTAGTAACTTGCTATTGCTAGATGCAAGCATTTTACTTTAAATAGCATGCAAATCAAGTCTTCACAAAAATGTAAGCATTTTAAAAATCCTTATGCATATAGGGTCAGTCTAATTTAAAGTTCACTGTAATTTCTGTAGGAGAAAGCAAATCAAGAGGAAATAACTAAGATTAGCCACTCTGAATGTGGCACAAAATTGAAATCACAAGTATATTGAACAAAAAGCACAATGCATAGAAGAATATACTAATTACAAGCCTCAGGCCAAAATTTAATATTGAGCACATTACTTTGACTTGTCCCACTTAAGGCCAAATGCAACTGCTACTAATAGTCTTTTCTTGTCTTAAAAGAATTAAGGCAGCAGAAGTTTCTTTTTTTTGTACTAATAAAAGTATTAATGCAGTTCTTTTCAAATTGCTTCCATGGTTTCTAGCATTATGAATGGCTTTCAAAAGAGAAGCAGCTTTCCTGTAAGATTGCAGAAACTTTTAATGAGCTTGCTTTTCATACGTGCATAGGCCATAGGTCATGAGACACAAGGAGGCAGCAGGCTTCTAATTTTGCCATGAGGAAGACACCCAAGCTGGAGTCTCCCCGCCAGCCCAGTTCCAATCTCTCCGTCTCATTCAAAGCTCCCTCCATAAAGCCCCATTTAGGCTGTGTCAGCTCAAACCATGTCCCTGTTTGAGCAATGCAGGAGCATAAGACACCACTGCTTGATGTAGGGTGGTAGCTTAGGAATGGAAGAGTCAAGACACTGAGCACTGCGTGACAAATATCCTTAATATTGGGTCACACCAGGATGTAGCTGGGTGAGCAATTTATCAGGCAGGGACCTCAAGATACCAAATTGATTTATGATCCTCAGGTCCCCAGCTCAGCCTACAGCAGCAAAAGCCAAGTTGCTCATGGTGGGGGGGAGGATTGCTAAAGTACTTTTAAAAAGTGCAATAACATGGCCACACACAAACTAGGACATGGCAAACCTGATGGTGCAGTACAGCCTCCACTAGAGTTAGAGCTGTGCCAGCCTCCCTGAGCCTGTCTCGGTGCCCACCTAGGTAGGACTGGCCCTGTGCCATTAGCTCAAGAAAGATCCGCACAAATATCTGCATTACCACCTTACTAATGGCCTGTCACCAATTAGCCCAAACCCAGGCCAGATGAGTGCCATTGGCTCCGTCATTTTGCAATCCTGGCCTTAGGCAGCTCCATGGGCAGCACCCAGGTGGCTCTAGCAGCCCTTACATCACTCCAGAACTGCACTGTTCCCAAGCACTGCAGGATGCATGGGGAGATACATGTGCTACACCTAGGTACCCAGAGTGTCTGGCAGGACCTGGAGTAGATGCACAACACGTTCAGTACAAAGATCTTGAGGCCATTTCATGCCACATGCTTTTTGACTCACTAACACACACTACCTGCAGATATACTATCTAAAGCCCTGGGGAGGTCTCAAGGGCAAGCAGTGGAAAACAAGTCCTTTCTGAAGCATGAAAGGACTATATTCTATATTCTACACCACAGGAAGCTGTCCAGAAAGGGTATTTATACTTGCTCTATCTTCCCTGATAAGACTTTGCTGGCATTTCACCTGGAGCGGTGTCCGGTCCAAAAGTAAAGGTCAGAGGAAACTTTTCTGCTCCCTTCACTTGGCGTTTGTAAAGGAACTCATGGGCCAGCAGGCACCCGACATGCCAGCAAGTGCTCAGGAGCCTGGTGGCCACCGCAGCTTTCCCAGTGACCCGGCCAGCCAGGAATTTGCTGACCACCCTAATGCGATAGCACGCTGCTAAAACCCATGTCAGGCATGGCCCCAGTTAGGAAAAGAGCTGGGGGGGCAGGAAAAAAAAAAAAGAAAAAAGTCGCTGTATAAGCTGACTCCACAGCAAAAGTAAATAGGCTGGATCCATAAGATTTGCCTTTTTTTTGTTGGAATAATTCCTGCTCAATGCAAAGTTGTCCTATTTTATGCTACATCCTAACTACCTAAACATAATTCCTGTTCAGGGCATTGTTTTCCAGCCTTCAGCCAAAACTGCTTTTGATAAATCAGAAAAGATATTTTTAGAGGAAAACTGATTATTGACAAAGCCTTACTGTTATTTTATATTATGATCATCATAATGATGAGGTCTTACTGTGGTATGCACCTCAAAACAACATGCCAAGCCTCTCTAAAGAACATATAATTAAATTTTTACAAAAGATGAACAAAAGCAATGAGCAAAGAGAAAGCAAAGAGAGTATAACACTAGTGGCATGGTAGGTATGAGAAGCATGGGTCCCTGTGCCATCAGCTGCTTCCACCCTGAATTTTTTTTTACATGTAATTTGACAGAACAGTGGACAAAAATCTCAGGTATGGCAGTAAAATTTTTCCTCCCTTAGGACCATGGGGCAGTTTCCCTGGCTTAATGAATTGCAGGAAAAGTGCGAGGATATTTCTGAGAAACATCTCACAGATACTAGCAAGCTGTTCTTTATACTGATTACAC